TTGGCTCAGAGATTTGAGTGACTAGTGAGGCATCCTCCCATCATGGGATGTCGTCGCCATTGCTCTTTAGCACGAGGCTTACTCGGTGGAAAGGGGGGCTTGGGCATCATTTTACGTAGTTAGTGATGTCAGTCTCGTGGTCTGGTCCAAGGTTCTTTTATGAATAGAACATTTCATTTAGTCGCTGTTCTCCTGGCCTTGGATTATACTATGTTGCAAGTCAACGGAGATCCGCTAACTCCGGGGCTAGTTATGTCCTTAGAGAGAGAAAATACAATCTCTTATTCATTATATTGAATACTGTCAGGAAATTCTGTCATGTAAGGTGAACAAAATGGAGTTAGTACAATAATTCAATACAGGTTCTAATAAAGATTTTAATAATTCTACATCAGTCCCCCCTATGAAATGTTAGATTCTAAAAGATAATCTTTATTTGTTAGTATCAGAAGACGTGTTAGCCCAAAAGCACAGAAACCCCGTGACCCGCTAGCTAGGTGTTATTGCAAAGTGCAAAGCTGTCCCTTCGTCTGTCCCTAATTGGCTAACTCATCTGTCCGCTGGGCACTCGAACACTTCACTCCATGGGTATCCCGAGGTGGCTAACCCACCACATCTCCGCACGGTAGACTTCCCAGACAGACAGATGCTGTCCCTAAGCTGGTGCCTTCCTAGAACTCTTGCACTTTATCAATAAACGGGATAGATTGTAGCGGTATACAGGGCGAGTTGACTTTTTGGAAATCTTGGTCATCAACTGTGAGGTGTGCGTAAGTGGGTGCCGCTTGGTCTACAGTCTTCAAGAGGAGCTTTCTCAGACAAGGGAGGACACAACAAGCGAGAAGAGCAAAGATAAAAAGGAAAATTAGTATTGCTATACCAATATGCATCAAAGCTTTTTGCCATCCTGTCATCCAACCAAACCATCTCTCCCAGGGATCTTTTATCCCAGAGTTCCTCTTTAGCTCCTCAGAGAGCTCTTTCAATTTTTCTATAGCTAAGGTTACTTTACCATTTGGGCCTGTGTTTTCTGGGATGTAAGTACAACATGTCATGGTGTCAGGCAGAATTTTACATACCCCTCCTTTTTCGGCTAGAATCATATCTAAAGCCATTCTATTCTGGAATGACATTTGGGACGTAGCCTGCAGCTGTTCGGCCAAACCCTGTAGGGCATCCCTGGTGCAATTAACAAACCGTTGTTGGTTGTAGTAGATGTAATTTATCCAATTTAAATTCTTGTTTGCAGTGACTATGGTAAAAAGTGATTCAAATCCTGCAGCAACTTCATCCCTGGCTTTAAACTCATTGGGCACTCCCCTAGGTACCCCAATGGCATCAATGTAAATATGAGGGTCAAAACTGCCTTTTACTGGGGCTTCACGCTTTACCTTGGTTGGTGAGTGTTTGGACTCATGAGTATCGGGGTGTGTGTCAGAGATAATATGTATGGGCATGATTGATTTAGCCAGAGTACACTCCCCCCACCATTCTTTATCCATTCTTGATCTCAGCTGTAGATCCCCACACAACCAGTAAATATCCCCCAATGATCTAGTGTGGAATTGTAGGAGGTTCATAGAGACAGTTCTGTAGGTGGCACAATAACCTTTAGAGAAGTTACCCACAAATTTACCGATTCCATCATAATTAGCATAACAGGTATAATTACCTTTATAGACGGTAACACCATGTGGGGGTTTGCAATCTTTGACTAGAAGAGGATACTCTACTGTCCATGCTTTACATATGGACCTATTGAAATTGTAGTGATAGGCAAAAAGACTCAGAACACATTCTTCTATATCTACTGGCAAAGTTAAAGGCACAGTGCCCAGGTGCGGCCGGGCACCACCACACAAATAGCATGCGGTTCTGTTATGTTTGTTGGCATTATATTTCATCCATTCTAACCATAGATTAACATCATTGAAACCTGTTTCAGCGGCCATGGTATCTTCAAATGTTGGATTTGCAATGGCCATCATGTCTTTAAAAGATTGGATGTGTGGTTTCAACGGATTTGAGACCATGTGGGTGGTCCCTTTCCACTCAGGAGAGTGGCACATATCTTTAAGGTGGAAATGTCCTAATTTATTATAGGAACCCTTCTTCCAGTACATTCCCATTACATACTGGTCTGCATCCGTTGGGCTGGGATGCTCAATGTTTAAGATTAATTTCATAGGTATGCCTCCTCCGGGCTTTCTTAGAGTCATTCTCTGGAGGAGGGACCTACCGTGATCATCAATTTTAGATAAGGCACTTTTTGGTTTGTAACCCCAGGCAGGCCCGGCATTCCATCCCGCCGCCCCCCAATGGTTACAGTTGTGCCCCCATTGTTTGTCAACTACACAAACATAGGGGTCTTTTGAATGAGGGATATCTCTATAGATATTCTGAATCTGTGACGTGGGGAATGGGCATTCTACGATGTCACAGTAGTCAAAAGTATAAGTAGCCACACGGGTGCATGATGAATTATACCAGAAGGTGTACCCACTAGCATCTTTAGTGATGGCTACTTGTTGAGCTTTAATTAAGCTGATTAAGAAGATACTGTACCAGAGGTACATGGTGGTGCGGTACTAGCTTCCTCTGGGGCAAGTACTTTCTTACAATGGGAAGCGTGGATCCAATGTGGCCGGCCGGCCAATTTGACGGAGGTTGCGGTGATTAGGAGAACTTGGAATGGCCGTCAAATCTTGGTTCCAAGGTATGTTTCCGCACAAACTTCTTGACCAGAACCCAATCTCCAGGAGGCAGGCTATGGGTACCTGTATCCAAATCGGGATCTGGAATTGAAGAGAAAACTTGGGCATGTATTTTGTTCAAGGCACTTGCAAGTTCAATTACATAGTCTACTAAAACATCAGATTGAAGCTGTAACTGTTGTGGATAATAACAACCTAGTCTGGGTGCGGTCCCAAATAGAATCTCGTATGGGGATAGTGAATGCTTCCCTCTAGGTGTGTGCCTAACACTAAATAGAGCTATTGGTAGACTTTCTGGCCAGGGCATCTTTTTGTTTCTTGTGACATTTTAAGCATTCTGGCTTTTAAGGTGCCGTTCATGCGTTCCACTTTCCCACTACTTTGTGGGTGGTAAGGGGTGTGAAAGGCTAGGGTCACCCCCAGAGCAGTCCAAATCTCTTTAGTCACTGTTGCTGTAAAGGCTGGGCCCTGGTCACTTTCAATAACTTCTGGAAGTCCAAACCTACATACAACATCTGTAAGTAGACGTTTTGCTGTTGTTTTGGCAGTGATATTGGCTACTGGGTAGGCTTCTGGCCAGCCTGAGAACATGTCCACTATCACTAGTGCATATTCATGGGGCCCGCTCTTGGGCATTTGTATATGATCAATTTGAATTCTCTGGAATGGGTACATGGGCTTAGCCAGATGTTTTGTAAGCACTTTGATTGGCTTCCCTGGATTGCATTTTGCGCAAATGGCACAAACCCTGCAGAAGTTAGTGATCAATGTTGTTATTCCAGGGGCTTCATAATACTTCTGGATGAGGGCGGCCATTAAATCTTTTGACAGATGTGCTGGTCCGTGTGCCCATTGGACAACTGCTGGGTATAAGTTTTTTGGAAGGCAGAATTTGAAATTGTTATAGTATATTCCGTCCTTTAAGACAGCCCCTTTCTTCTTCCATTTCTGGATCTCTTCAGGGGTAATTGCGGCTTGCTGTTCCCGCAAAATCCTTAGATCAGTAGGAAGGGTCTGTAAAGTAAAAACAGGAACTTCTTCTTGACCGGACACTTCTTCGTCCACTTCCTGCAAATTTCTTGCTGCTTGCTTAGCAGCCTGATCAGCCAGATGGTTGCCCCTTGCTTCATCTGTATCCAACTTTCCATGTGCCTTGACTTTCAATACGGCCACTTCTTCAGGGAGTAGGAGGGCATCCATTAGCTCTTTGATTGCAGAGCTGTGTTTGACTGGTGTGCCGGCAGTAGTAAGAAATCCTCTTGTCTTCCATATGAGGCCGAAGTCGTGTGCCACACCTAGGGCATATCTTGAATCTGTGTAGATGTTGGCACGTTTTCCTTCAGAGATTTTGCATGCTGAAGACAGGGCTTGTAATTCAGCTTCTTGCGCAGACATTGCTGGTGGTAAAGATGATGACTTGATAACTTCATCTGTTGTGGTTACGGCATATCCTGTGTGGTATTTTCCTTCTTCATCAGCATATCTTGAACCATCCACAAACAGAGTGAAATCAGGATTTGTCAATGGATTCTCATGCACCGTTGGTAGATGTATGGTCTCCATTTTCATCTGTTCAAAACAGTCGTGAGGAGTCTCTGGGTCATAGTCGTTTACTATGACCAGGCTTTTAAAGTCATTTTCCAGGAAATGGCGTGGCCATGCTTCAAGTAGGTCAGTTGTGGGGTATTTGGCAATGCCATTTTCCTGTAACTTCGAGTCATCCATGGTGGCCCATAATTTCGCCATGGGCCCGAGATCATTCCATGATTTTGTTTTCAATTTGGTAACAGGGACATGTGGAATAGCAGTATCCCAATGACGGTATAAATACTTGAGTTCTGAAGGTAGTTCGATCAAGACCATGCTATTGCCTTCAGAATCACAATAGAAGTCGTGAGCAGTGAGTTTCACCTCCACCCAGTGATAGAGTTCATCTTCATAGCAAGGTTCAGGAGAGATGTTCGGCTTGTACCATGTGGTACAGAAGGCATATCCTGGACCCTCACAGAGAGGTTTTTGTTCTTTATAAAAGGTTAAATCAGGATGCATCCTCTTGATGGTTCCAGTGAGGAGAAAAATATAGGTTTCGTCCATGATAAACCCATAGTGGATACCCCCCTCAGGGAGTGGAAGAAGAGTGGACGGATTAAGAACTTGACACCTTTGTATGGTGATGTTGTCAGGTAGCAGGAGGTGACACTGTAAACGCAGGTGTCTGGCAGGAGACACATGTTTGAGCTGGACTTGGTTGATAATGGCAGAAATGTCATGAGGTGCCAATACGACCAGAGGATGACCAAGGACCAGGTCTGCAGTTTTCTCAATAAGTTCTCTTGCAGCAAAAAACAGCCCTAAGGCATGAAGGGGCCCCTCTGGCCACGATATCCAGCTGACAGGAGAAAAACCCAATAGGCCTTTGGCGGCCTCTTAACTCATTTGTTTGGGTAAGCACTCCTGTGGCGTGGCCTTGTCTTTCAGAGACAAATAATTTGAAGGGTTTGGTGTAGTCTGGTAGGCCCAGAGCAGGAGCAGATGCAATGGTACGTTTCAGAATTTTAAAATTGTCCAGTGCTTCATTTGTCAGGCAGAATGGGTCTGACTTGAGTGCATCATAGAGTGGCTGCATAAGCAGAGAGGCTTCTGGGATCCATGCTCTGCAATAGGAAATGAGGCCTAAAAAAGCATGGAGAGATTTTGTGGTTCTTGGAGGTGGAATCTCCAGTACGGCTCTGACTCGGTCCCGAGTGAGATGTCTGGTGCCTTGAGATAGGCAATGTCCAAGAAAGATTACTGTTGGCTGACAGAATTGCAGCTTGAGACGTGAAGCTTTGCATCCTTGTTCTGCTAGGTAGCAAAGGAGACTAATAGAACAGTCTTCTGTTGTAGGTATGTCATCCCCACAAAGTAGGAGATCATCCACATACTGAAGTAGGACAACTTCTGGGTGGTCTGTTTGCCATGGGTCCAGGATGGAGCACATGGCTTTAGCAAATTGACTTGGAGAATTTTGTGCCCCTTGGGGCATGACAGTCCATGTATACTGTTGCATTTCATGAGTGAAAGCAAACAGGTATTGGCAAGTCGGATCCAGTGGAACACTGAAGAAGGCATTAGCCAGGTCAATGACTGTGAAGTATTTTGCAGATGGTGGAACTCCAGATAGCAGAGTGTGGGGGTTTGGTACAATAGGGGTGTCCAGGACAGTTGCTTCGTTGACAGCTCTGAGGTCCTGGACCATTCTGTACTTCTCTGGTTCCCCTTTTGGTGTTTTCTTCTTCACAGGAAATAATGGGGTGTTGCATTTTGATTCACACTTCACAAGAGCACCTTTCTCCAAAAGTGCTTTGATTTGAATTGAAATAGCTGCAGCCTGAGCTGGCTTTAGAGGATATTGTGGTTTTCTTGGTAATTTTGCTCCTGGAATGAGCTTTACCACCACAGGTGGAACTCTCAGATGACCTATGTCTTCTGGGCCTTTGGACCATAATTTTGCAGGTACCTTTGTTTTGATGATATCCGGAAAATTGGACCTCTGCTCTTTTGCTTCCCCACGGGGTTCATCTAAATGCAGCAATAGAGGTAGGGAGCACAAAACTGAGGTATCTGATTCAGATAGGGGAGTAGACAATTCTACTTGACCTTCTGGGGTGAAGGTGATAGATGCCTGCAGGCGTGAGAGGACATCAGCACCTAACAGGTTAATTGGGCATGTGGAGGATACTACAAATCGAGCAAGCAAGTTTGGGTAATTGCCAACTCGCAATGGGGTTGTTAAAGGACTGTGCCTTGGTTGGCCATCCACTCCAACACAAGAGACATCTATTTCTGATAGGAATGAGGCATCTGGCAGGTCTTGTTCTCTCAGAACACTTCGGGCTGCACCTGTGTCAACTAAAAATGTGGTTTCTCGTCCTTCAATGGGTAAAGTCACAGTGGCAAGTGGCCCCCCCCCTTTATCCCCTGAAGACACTGCCATGACAGGGGTTAATGACACAGGCTTGCCAACTTCCTAATCATCTGGTTCCTTAACAATTGGAACCGTTTCTGTGGCCTTATGGGCAGGTGCAGGCTTGGGCGCCTTTCTGGGTTCCGGGCACTCATTTTTGAAGTGACCTTTAGCCTTGCAATTGAAACAGAAACCATCCTCAGGTTTGGTACCTCTTGGGACAGGGGTGAAGCGGGACACCATGAGAGGGGCTGAGGAAGAAACC